AAATTTCATTTAAGAAGAAAGAGAATCTCAGCATCATGTTTGGTCTCAAGTAAGCATGGAGGTTGGGATGGTAGGTGAGATTTCACCTTCATTGTTGCCATGTCCACTGTCCCTTGTGCATATGCTGCCATCGACCAGCTGGAGGAAATCTTCTCTGCGGGGAGAGGTCAGCAGTTGGCAGAGCATGGGTCAGTGTGGAAAAAGCAGGACATTACTGCAGTTGCTCCATTGCGTTACTTTTTCAACTGTAAATGAGGCTCCTCATTAATGAATCATGCACACAGATTGCCAGGGTCTCAGCATTAATTGGCACTAATGGGAACATCTTATGGTTGAAGGAAGAAGCTGTGGGAGCCATTTTCAGTCCGATTTGATTTGGAAGAAAACTCACGCAATTTACATTTTTCCATGAAACTTTAGGGCAGCCTTTTTCACCACATTTTCACTCCAAACCCCAAATAAGTTGCTGAATATCTGCAGAAAAGTCTATCAAATTCTTTATGAGAGAGAAGGATTACCAACAAGTGCCTCAGTGAGATTTGCCTTCTTCTGCCAGGCAGGGCATCTACAGAGAGTGTTTGAATCTCCTTTTGACGGTACTATACATGCTAAGGCCTAATGCAGTGTATATAATTTGTTTTATTCATTTGAGATCATTCAGCAGGGATTCAGTGCAAGTTCGCCTGGAGGATGTTTTATCCAATAAATTTCACTTAAAAATGTGTTCTCCCATGATAATGTACTGTTATTCCCACAAAATAGGTGATGCAAAAGTTTAATCTGAGCTGTCTTGGAATGTTTTGCCCCTTAAGAGGAACCAATATGTAACATCTCTTTTTTAACCCCAGAGTCTCTTGTAATTGGTTTTGTGATATATGTTCGGCATTGGAGAGTCAATGCTAATAGCATTGGTATATTTCAGACCTTTTCAGATCATAGAACAAATGGGTGAATCCCACTTTTCAGAATACCCTAAGCCAATACCCTAGAATGGATTAGCAATAGGCATGCCTGCCTTCAGGTGGATGCATCCATCCAAGGCACCCTGCTTGCAGCTCCCACTTGATCCTTCAGTTGGGTACCCTTGTGCAGTATGTAATCTGGAAAAGATACATAATAGCCTTAGAATCATCCTTCTGAACATTAATACCTCTCTAATCCAACACCGAGTCTGTAGGAGGAATCTGGAAGCAAGATAATCTTATAAAGAAAAATGCAGGGCTCAGAGAAAAAGATATGGAGCAAGCCTATGAGGTAGACACAATGATGATATAATTTTCAGTAGAGGAGAATGTGATAGAAAGTTTGAGATTCATATCAGTACTACAGTTGATCTACTGTTAGAAGTAAATGTTTTCTTTAGGATCACATAATTTCTTGCTGGAAAAGAACTTAGGAATCGTTTAATCCTACCTGATCATTTTACTGGTGAGAAGTCATGTGTGTAGCTCAGTGCTACATAGCTAGCTAATGATGGAGCCTGTGCTAGAATCCAGCTCTTAGGGCAAGAAGTGTAATTTACATTCTATCCTGCCGAGCTAAATGCCACAAGCACACACCCATCTCTCAGCTTCAAGAAGTGCCTTTAAGTCTGACATTCTGCTAATAGGTGACTAAATCCATCCCTATCTTTAACCTTCCCAACTGTTAATTGAAAATTAATAGTTCCAATTCTTCTTCTTTCTCTGTCTTTATGTTTGCAAAATAAATAATAATCTTTTAATATAGCCTTTCAAGGATAGTTGATATTCACTGATGACAATGGAAATGGCATTCCCCATCAAGTAAGAAGTTGTGTTAACTGACCTCTCAGTTTCCTAACATCTCAAGATCTAGTTTGACTAGCATGGCAACCTCTATCTCTTTTGCTTATTTAGTTACCCTTCCCTTTTATACTCTTAGGCCTTGCTTGAGGGGCAGTACCAAGACCTATCTGGTATAGTACAAAAGCAAGGTTAAAGGTGTCTTCAGCCCACCAGCCTGCACCCACATTGCCCTCCCCTCTACCATATACATCACATGCACACACACACACACACAAACACACATTTGTGATTACATATAATGTTGTATTGATCGTTTGGATGTCACAGTACATTGGTGTTAGTCCACTATAGCTCCTTAAATTAAGTCTGGTAGGTCCAATTAGAATTTGATGCTGTTTTAGTAATGCTAAGCCTAAAATAACTCTACTGATGGGGGTCTCATGCTTATCTCTGGGAGCATCTTCTACATATGACTGAAGCAGTGATGAAATTCTGAGCAATTGTCAGACCCACAGTCACCAGGAAATGCCAAACCAGTTACTGTATCTAAGAGGTGTTTAAAAGATGGTTGCTGTGTCTCTGCATACTGAAAAGAGAGGAAATGTGTCTGGTTAGCAAAATTCAAAGGAAATGCCTATCATCAAGAAAACAAAAGCTTTCCTCCAACACCATCTGGCATAAGAAAAGTCTGAGTTAATAGTAAAATAGCATCTTGTACATTTTAGCTTTCTTTCTAATGTTTCCTATGTTTCCCCGCTTTTAGATGAGATCAAAATGATAATATTAGCTGCATTCATCTATCCATTCATCCAAATCCTCACTCTCTCTAAAGTATGCCATATGTGAAAGAAAAGTTTAAAAATACGTAAGGCTTCTGTTTTCATCTACTTCCATAAATAAGCACTATAAATTATGGCTAACCACCAAGTAATATTATTGAGCATCTGTTCATGGCATTTAAATGTCTAAAGGGGCTAAGGTTGTTTAGCCAAGAAAGGAGGAAACCAGAGTAGTGTTTGTGACAGTCCATTATCCAAAGGGCAGTAAACAACTGTTTATCATGCCCTCTTAGAAAGAAAGAAGAGAAAAGAAGCTTGCAAGTTTAAGAACTTCTTGAAGTGTCCAATGAAACAATGAAAGAGCTTCTCTATATTTACATAGAGAAATATAGAGAAATCTACTTCTCTATATTTACATCTTTAACTATAACCATTTCTATGCTTACATACACATATCCATATAAAATTATAAAATCAGGATGCCCTAAAAGCAATATTTGGGTAGGATAATCAGATAGCTGTCTGAGGATGATGTTACATACATATATATAAAAGCTATCTAGTAACCCATTTTTCTCAATCAATTACTCATGGGGTAACTAGCATGTTATAAGGGCAAGTGCCGTAAAGGAGTATAAAAAGTCCGAAGTGTTTACAGTCTGAACTGAAAGAGTTTACAGTCTGGTTGGGAGACAAATTGAGTGGAGAAAGCAGTGGGCAATACAGTCTTATTCATAGTTATGTCATCTATCGATTGTATAGTGTAGGTGGCAATACTGCAGGTGTTCTGAAGATAGCAGAAACATCATTTGCATGTCTTAGAATAGTCTGAAGGCAGAAAAATATGAATTGATCTTTGAAGGATCATATTTTTATATGTGATAAGGGGGAGAAGAAACAACAGAAAAGAGGGAAACTGAGAAAAGGTGGTAAAGTACAAATTAATAAGGTATTTTATAGAGTCAGTAAATATGTAGATTTAACCAGATGAGAAGGAATGCATTAAGGGAGAGTGGGGAATAAGTTCTAGCAGGTAGAGTGGGAGAATCCACCATAGTGCTCCCCATTGTATGACTGGGACAACGCCCACACATGACGCTACCTCTCACTTCTAGTCATTCATACTCTTAACTGAACAATCTACACTACCCAACTTATTCCTTACCTTTAATCTCTCAGAACAACAAATATCTAACCAAATGGTCCACATTGGAGGGCACTGGAATCAAAACCAATTTAATTGTTGTATAAGATTGTGCTTTGTATTCTCAAGGTAAAGGCAGAGGACTGCTTTTCAACCTCTTCTTGCCATTATCTGCTACTCCTTTCTATTTTTTCACATTTTTGTTGTTGCTCCTTCATTCATTATTAATTCAGCAGATATGTTAGCTTCTATTTTGTCTCATGCTCTGGGCTAGACACTGAGGGTACAGAGCTGTGTAAGACACTCTTTTTACCTTCAAGATGCTTTTAGTCTAGCAAGCCAAACATGCAACTCCAGTAGAGTCGGATGCATGTTATATGTTGCAGCACCTCACCCAGCTCCTGAGGAGGGTCATCTAAACGAAATGCTAAAAGGAAGAAGGAAGTAAAGGTGGTTAGAGAGAGGAATCTGCTCCAGTCAGGCAGCACAGTGTTGAAACCTAAAATGAGAAAACACAGTGCACATAGAGAACCACAAGAACTACACTGTGGGCTATAGTGTGATAGAGGACAGATATGCGAACAGGAGGTTCCTGCAATCAGAACCCCATTACCATAAGTCTTTGATAATTGTGTTCAGTCATTGACTCACAGGCCCGTATTTAATGAGTACTTCTTGTGTGTCAGGAATTATGCTAGAGGCTAGACATAGAGCTCCACACAAGACACAGAGCTACCTCAAAGAAGCTTTCATTCTAGCTATCACTAGCTATCACTCAGAAAATGACAGTTATTGATGATTCTGATGGACGTGAAGGAGCACATGATTCATCCCTAATTCATTCTAGAACAGTCTCTCTGCCTCTGATCTCCATTACTGCTATTCCAGACTCATTTTTAAATTTTAATTTTCTTTTGGAGGTCTGTTAAGTTCTGTTATTCTATTCTACTCTTTATTTTATTCATAATCTTTGTATTGTTTAAACAACCAAAATGAACATATTTCCATTAATGTTCAGAAATACCTTCTTCCAAATAAATTACATAGATGCATGTACTGAGGTTCATTTTATTTTTAAATTTGCTGAGAAATCTTTAAAATTAAGCCTAATATTCAATAATTTTTAATGAAGTATAAAATAAAACATTAGAAATAAATGTTTAAAAAGATAGTGTAGCTATTGTTTGTTATCCTTTCGTCTATTTCCCGCCATCCAAGGCCCAAAATAAAATGTAAAAATACAAAAATAAATGTAAAATTAAGAAAATAACCTTAATAATATAAAAAATGTACAAGAACATAAAGGATTTATCTCAACAATTTAATTCAGCATTTCTTCAAGGAGACAGGAATTTGTCAATAAACAAGTCTTTGCTAACAGTTCCTGGAGAAGGATGACAAGCTGGCTGAAACAAATAAAACAGTAATAGCACGACTGAGAAAAGGTAAATAGAATTCTGGAGCGAACAGTGGTAAAAATGAATGAGATAGTGAAGAATAAATAATAGAAACGCTGAGAAAGCAATGTTTTGGGATTGAATGCAACAACAAGGAAATTAAATTCAGAGAGAGATAAGAAATGAGAAAGAGAACAAGTACAAGTTGTCTTTTCTTTTTCTTGTTCCTCTATCCAAGAGAAATAACTGTCAGCTACAGGTCGTAAAACTTTATAGACTAATGCCCTCTGACCTCTGACCCTGTGATTTATTTCCTCTGAACAGAGGTGTAGTCCTCCCTCCTCCTGAGAAAAATGAGGCAACGTGGCTGGGTAGCTTCTTCCATCCATCAGGCAATGAGATGTGTCTCCAGGTCTCAATTTGCCATCAGCAGTCTTGCTCCAGGCCAAGTCAGGACCGGTTTATACACCAATACAAAGATTCAACAGACACATTTTCCTTTAGAGAAAAAAAAACCCCACCATATATAAGATATATATAAGGCATGTATGTCTTATAAATCCTTTCTGCTGCACCACAGAAAGCAAGCAGTTTCCAATTTAATTAACAGTCTTAAATTGCTGAGAGTCAGCAGAACCAGTTCATAACTGGGCAGTGCTGATTTGTCCCATTTGAAAAAAAAAAAAAAAGTTTCCTAAATGTAAAGGAAGAGTTCTTTCATTTGCATTGAGCTGTTCTACTTGGCAAATAGAAACATCCATTTGTAAATGAGCACATTTCCACACACAGGCCATCAAAGAACTATTTCCAGAAGAGCAAGTGATAATTAAACAAAGTATACATACCCTCTTTGATGCCACTTGAAGCTGCAGGGAGACTGACTGGAGTCTGGGAGGGAACCAGGGTAAATTGTTCTTTTGTGAAGCCAAGACTGCTGGTAGCCAGAGTTGGCTCCGGCTTTCGGGGGCAAAGGAGACTGAGTCATCTCCCTTCATCGAGCTGATTTGTTCAAAGGGCACAAGAAGTTCCCAGGGATTTCATGCTTCTTTGAGGCAACCTGCATTTCAGATGGATGGGAAAGGGGGTGGGCGCAGTGAATTTTGTTGCTAGGTCTCCCAATGACTTGCCAACATTTTGCCTGTTTCTTTGTGAACCTGGTAACCACCCCAGCTGGGCTCCCCATTACTCTGAACAGGAAAGGGATGAATATGCCCAGTCTTTTTTAGCTTGCAAATGTGCCCTGGTGAGGGTAAACATGGCTGTGTTTGTTCACCCTGGGGAACAAGTCAGGCATGAAGTCCCTTTTGTTCAGGCTAAGAACGACCTCCCTTCATTCTCAAGTTCAGAGGGGCTGGTGATTTCATCTGGAAATGTGAACATGAATCCTACCTGAGAAGGACAGCGCTTTCTCAAGTCGCCCGGGAGTTGGCAAGGTCTGTCTGAAGACCTTGGGAAACACAGGGATGCAGGTGATGCCTGGGAGAGACCCACTTTGGTCTGTGTACAGTTCCATAAAGGGAGTCTTCCAAATACGCAGGACAGCAAGCAGCTGGTCCAGTAGCGCCTCTAGTTTGAAATAGTTTTAAAAAGATCATGAGCTGCAGGAATGAGATATATCTTAGATGCCCTAGGAATAAAAAAAGTATAGCCATGATTAGTATTTCAGTGTATGTTTCCTGAATAATAGATGCAGAGAAAAGAGCAGAGCAATGGGTATTTCTCTTTTCATCACGATGATAGAGAGTGCATGAGTCTTGTACGTTGCTGTGTGTGTGTAATGTGTACGTGCATCCATGTACACAGAGAGTTATATCTGGTGCCGGGGTGAGTTGATTAAAAAAAAAAATAAGCTATCACTCCTAACTTCAGTGGATTTTCAGGAAGAGAAACAGAGTATTAGAGTTGTATGACTATAGTAAGGGGCAAATACAAATTTCGTACTGATGAGTACCATGTAAGAGAAACAAAGCGCTCTGGGGGTTTAACACTAGAGGAGATCATATTTCATCACGTGAAATGAGGAAAGCCTTTATGGTAGACGTGGACTGTATGATCAACCTAGATGTGTGGGGAGGATTTCAACATATGGAGAAAGGGGACGGAAAGAGGGCATTCCACTAGTCGGGCAGAGGGAGGACAAACATGTCCATGAGGGAAAGTGCAGAACATGATGGTAGAACAATGTGGTTTAACTGAAGCATCCCATTCTTATAGAAAAATAGTAAAAGATAAGAATGAACAGTCATCTTGGGGCCATATCAGGAAACGTCTTAAATGTTAGGCTGTTTGGTTTTTAACTAAATAGAGAGTAAAGAATCTTTGAAGATTTTTAATATAAAAATGATATAATTGGAAATGCATTTTTCAAAAATTAATAATGGGATATATTAGAAGGAGATTGGAGGCTGAAACCCATGGGACTAACTCTTCTAGTCATCTAATCTAAATGTAAGAAATCTCTTATATTAGGATTGTAGAAGTAGAAATAGTAAAAGAAGAAAAAGTTTGCAGAAACTCTGAAAGTAGAATCTACAGACTTGACCACTCGTCGGATGTTGCCTGGCAAGGGGGAGAAAATAGTCAGAGATGGTGCCTGGATTTTAGGCCCAGGAGACTGGAATAATAATGTTGTCATGGAGAGATAAGAAAGTCTGTAGTCTTGGAAAGTGTTGAGTTTATTTTGGAGTGCATTGAAATGAAGGTACTAGCTAGAAACAATTATAAATGCTCAGCAGGCAGCTAAATTACAGGAAATAGGCCAGGACTAAGATATAGAATTGGGAGTCATTTACTTAGCAAATTGTTAGCAAGTCATTTATTTAGAAAATCCACTATGTGCCAGGCATTGTATGATGTACTGGGATTACAAAGATAAAGAAGATTCATGGCTTCTGATATCTAAGAGCACTTACAGTCTGCTGAGTGATACAGACAGGTGAACCCACCGGTCTCCTGTAGACTGATAATCTGATCATTGTTTGGGGTAAGAGAGAGAAACACAGGGTGTTATGGCATCTAGAGGCGTTTCAGAACGTGTTACTTACACTGTGGGGTCAAGGAATGATCCCAGAGGCAAGTGGCCTCTAAGCGGCAGGAGATTATGGCAGTGAATTGGGAAGAGCATCCCCATGCAGTGTGAAAGCTCAGCTTAGAGTGACAGCAAGGTGCAAATGGGCAGAAAATACAAGATGAAAAATAGTAAGAGAGAAGGCTGGAAAGTTGAGGCCAATTATTCAGAGCCTTAAGGTTACATTAAGGAATGTAGACTCTATCCAGCGAATCATATGAAGTCGCTGATTGGTGTTATCCTAGTTTAACTTTTTTTTTTGTTTGTTTGTTTGTTTTGGTTTTTTTGGGTTTTTTTGAGACAGAGTCTTGCTCTGTCTAACTAGGTAAAAATCGCTCTGCAACAATGTGGGAATAGAAAGAAGGAGGAGAAACACAGGGCAGTGAGATTCAGGAGACCTGGTCTTGAATAGTATCAATGTGGACTGAGAAATACGAATTGACTCAAAAGATAGAGTTACAAGTCTTCACTATTTCTTTTGTGGAGTAGGGGTAGTGGGAGAGAAGGGTCAAGAAAAACATCAAGTTTCTTCTTGGCTACAAGATGGTCGGTGTTACCATTCACTAAGTAACAAATACAAAAGTAGCGGGGGATAGTGTTTGTGTGTGTGTGTATGAGTGTGTGTTTAATTTGATTTGTAGGAAGAGACCTCGTCTTGTGATACTAAATTTGAGATTATATTTAAAGGGAGATTTCCAATGGTCAGTTGAATATGTGTTTGATGGACATAAGTGAGGTCAATCTGAGGCTACAAATTTTGAAGGCTTTATCACATAAATGAAAAGTAGAACCTCAGAAGAATACGTACTTACTAGACACATTCCCAGGCAAATACAGGAAAGTGCCAAGATATATCCCTGAAGAATATCAGTATTTAAGGGATAGGATGAGAAGGAAGAGACGACAACAAAGGCTGGGCCACTTTTACCAGAGAGGTAGGGGAAACACCAGAAGAGAGTCTGTGTTCTAGAATACAAGGAAGGAATGTGTCAGCTAGGACAATGGGTTAACTGTAGTAAACATTGCCAAGAGGTCAATGGAGAAGACTGTATTGAATATAATGGAAAGGAATCATTAGTGTCTTAGGCAAGAGCAGTTGCTGAGGGAAGGGAGGAGAGAGGTCAAGATGTAGCAGGTTGCCACGGTGAAGATTCTGAAAGGTTAGGGAGCTTCAGTGGGACAGCCTATTAGCTATGCCAGAAAGTTGAGTGGTAAGAACATAGACAGCAAGGGCTGGGAAATGAGCAAGTTGGTGGTAAGAAGGAGGTGGAGGAAAGGTGTGAGGACCACTCGCTCTAGAAATTCTGGAGGGAAAATAAGGACAAAAACTGTACTTAGAAGGTCAGTTGAACGTGTTTGCAGGCAAAAAAGAAAGGGTCAGTAGAGGTGGAAAAATGGAAAGTACAAAGGAGAAACAGAGAGGAAGAAGCAATAGGCAGATAGTTGGTTGGAATTCAGGTTTTAATTCTGCTCTCCTTGCCCCTTCATTCCACTGACTCTCTCTCTCTCTCTCTCTCACACACACACACACACACACACACACTGAAGTCAGGGCCTTAATGTAGTGACCCTGTGGATATTTCTTTTTTTTTAATCTCCTAAATACTTAAGAGGAAAAACAAGCAGCACAGTCTGTGGAATAGACAGGAAGCATCAGAGAGTTGAGCCTAAAATACCCTAGCATAATACACCTGTTTGGAAGGCATTAGCAAACATTTTTTTAAGAATGTAAATATCCTTTTGAAGGGTTAAGGTCCTTGGACTCTGAATCATGTACTTCTTTATATAAATGATATCAGCTTTGATGAAAGGAATACTCTTGGTCATGGTTGTGGGAATGGGATCCATGGGAGAGTGAAGAGCGATTTAAGAAAATTTGGGAAGGGTAAGAAGAAAGGAAAGATTATATCAGTACAGTTCAGCTGTGCCTCCCAACCAGGTAAACACCCTTCTGTCCTCTTCCTAAAGCTCCTCCTGCCTTCCAATAATAATCTTTCTTCCCATTTTCATTGTCATTTATTGACTAGCATCCGGGTTATTAAAAACAAAACTGTTCACAAAATGTTTTAAATAGCCTAGTAGCAGAAGCAGCTCAGTAGCCAGATCTATCAGTGGGATCTGGGTTCTGATTTGGTTAAGCTCCCTGAAAGTAGCTAGCACAATGGACATACTTTATGCTCATCATAGCAAAACCACCAGAAGGATACCTGGCTTCAACCTAGGCTCACCACAGGGTAGCTGTAGAACTTCAATATGGATATTGTGATGGGTAAGGAGGTTACATATTTTGACTGTCTTTTCTTAGGGCAGGGTGGGGGTCAGGGAAGAGGCACTGGCCAGGTGCTGTAGGTCACACTTGTAGTCCCAGCATTTTTGGAGGCTGAGGTAGGCAGATCCCTTGAGTCCAGGAGTTGGAGACCAGCCTGGGCAGCATGGCAAAAGCCCACTTCTACAAAAATGCAACAAATTAGCTTGGCGTGATGGTACACACCTGCAGTCCCAGCTGCTCAGGAGGATGAAGTGGGAGCATCTCTTGAGCCTGGGAGTCAAGGCTGCCGTGAGCCAAAATCGCACCAGTTGCACTCCAGCCTGGGTGATGGAGTGAGACACTGTCTCAAAAAAAAAAAACAAAAAAAAGAAGAGCATGCAGCGTTCTTTCCTTTAAATGTAAATAAATAGCTAATTAATCCCAATAGTTTCTTTTTCTTTCATGATTGGCTTCAGGGACAGGAAGCAAGGTATCTTAGTTTTCAGAACTTTTCACATTTTGAATGCTCAGTAAATACTAAGAAAGCAATCCAATATGTGAAAATAGAAAGCTAGAATAAATCTGCCTCCTTTCTTGAACGTCGAGACTTTAAGCACTCAGCAGGGAAGAAGCATTTATTCTAATATAGAGACAGAGGGTTGTTTGTTACAAATAGGGGGGAAATCCAATTAAAAGTGGGATTTGTGAAACCCCTGCTTTGGCATGAGCAACACGGCAGAGTTGATACATCAGCCCTAATGCCAATGGCATGGAGGCCTGATATTGGTGATCATAAGCCAGCTTCTAGTCTATTGGCTTTCTCATCAGAGGAGGTAGTTTAATGTCCTAAATTCAGCAGTAAATATTAGTGAATTAACTATAAGGCCTGAACTTCTTTTGCCTTCAATGCTTACATAAAAATGTCTAAAACTTGCCAAAGTAATCAACTGAGAAATGAAAAACTTCAGTCACACTGGTTGTGTCATGCAGAACAGAAACAACCAGTTGGCTGAGCGATCTGCCATTTAAGCCTAGCACCTAATCATCAGATCCAGTCAGACCATTTCTAATGACATCCTTGTCATTCTTTAAAGGAAATGAAATTGTGTAATGACATGTTCTCCTAAATCTCTTTACTGTTGTTCTGTACACCTCCCCGAGAGTGCTCAGACTCAGAATGGCCTGCACACGTGTCCCTTTGTTTGACAGCTGCCCTGAGTCTGTGGGTCCTGCTTTGTCTGGGTTGAGAGCCACAGGCGCCCTGCTAATAATATCTAACATTTGCTGAGTGCTTACTAGATGCTGAACTCTGTATTAAGCACTTTAACTCCATTATTTATTTTTTTTTTTTTTTTTTTTTAGATGGAGTTTTGCTGTTGTCACCCAGGCTGGAGTGCAGTGGTGAGATCTCGGCTCACTGCAACCTCCACCTTCTGGCTTCAAGCAATTCTCCTGCCTCAGCCTCCCCAGTAGCTGTGACTACAGACATGGGCCACCATGCCCGGCTAATTTTTGTATTTTTAGCAGAGACGGGGTTTCTCCATGTTGGCCAGGCTGTCTCAAATTCCTGACCTCAGGTGATCCACCCACCTTGGCCTCCCAAAATGCTGGGATTACAGACGTGAGCCACCATGCACAGCCTCTGTTATCTCATTGAGTTCTCACAGTAACTCTGCATGGTATAAATTAAGAAATTGTTGATGAAAAAATTATTGACTCAATAATTTCCCTTCTATAAAGTTATTATACTAATATTACTACACATATTATGTACTACAATATGTGTACAAAGATGTTTACCATGCTGGCCAACATGGTGAAACCCCATCTCTACTAAAAATACAAATATTAGCCAGGCGTGGTGGTGCATGCCTGTAATCCTAGCTA